TAGTAGTAGTAGTAGTAGTAGTAGTAGTAGTAGTAGTAGTAGTAGTAATTAGTAGTAGTAATTAGTAGGAGTAGGAGTAGTGGTAGTCGTAGTAGTAATAGTGATGGCAGTAATAGCAGCAGCAGCAGCAGCAGCAGCAGCAGGAGTAGTAGTAGTAGTAGTAGTAATTAGTAGGAGTAGGAGTAGTGGTAGTCGTAGTAGTAATAGTGATGGCAGTAATAGCAGCAGCAGCAGCAGCAGCAGCAGCAGCAGCAGGAGTAGTAGTAGTAGTAGTAGTAGTAGTTGTTGTTGTTGTTGTTGTTGTTGTTGTTGTTGTTGTTGTTGTTTCAATAGTTTGCATTGTTCAGGAGCCTAGACTGATCAAACGTACGTGCTTTATCAAAGAAACATTTTGGTGAGCTCTGGAAAAGTGAATTCTGAAGATTCTGAAGCGGGTATTTGATCCACAGGAACATCTTGAGGTCTCGAGGATCTCGTCCTCTTCATACCTGAATTTGCTGGTTAACCATAGTTGATTTGATCTTCATGTTTCTTCATATGGATTAGTGCTATTTAGTCATAGTCCCCTTGACGCTTGACACAGTCGACCAACCCCTTGCAGTCTATTTTGATGAGCACTGAGCAATCAATCCATGGAGCTGGATTTTGCAGGCAAATCGACCGGACATTGGTGTTTCTTGCCTACTCCAAACTCCTACTCATGTGTTGCGAATTCCATGGATCCAACCACCCACGAGGGCAGGACGTAGGTAAATTAGTAAACCGTTGTTGCCACCCCCTGAAGTAGCAGTCCGAATTTTGGCGAAGTCAATCATTGCCCAGGACTGGCCACACCATGGGAGTTCAGAAAATCCGCTGGTGACTTGGACTTGGACAGGAAGCAAAGAGGCATGTAGCAGCTGCTGTCTCTTCTGGGCAGGGAATGAGGTGCTCGAACTTGAGGTTGTTTGAGGTTAAGTGGGCATGGACACTGACAGGAATGTCGGAATGTCTCAAGTTCTTTGGGAGCATGACAACGTGCATCCAATGCTGGTATATGGTACTGTTATTTGATATATATATATACATTATATATATAATTTGTTTGCTGATTGTGGCAAAGTACTTGGTGGGGGGTGATGTGTATCCCGGCCATGTTTTGTGGCCTTCAGCGAGACGCAGATGAGACGTTCGACCCTGAGACGAGGAGAACGATGGTTGAACTCTTGAAACTAACGCGAGACGACGATCGGCTGCTCTCTGAGCGATCTGTGCCAACGAAAAAAACCATTCGGTAACTTGTGGTAGCACCAGATCATTCCAGATCAGTTTCACATGGTTTTTGGTCTTTTAATGGTCCGATAAACTGGCCCACAGACCGTCACCGATGACACCTGTCGAGTCCGAGGGTACCGAGAGTCCGATCGAAACGCGCACCGGCGCCCGGCTCGCGAGGTTTCCGAAGACTGCTCACTTGTTGCTCTCCGCTGGCATGGATGGCAAGATCATGATTTGGGACTACCACAACCAGAGGAAGTGCCACGGCGGAGGGCCGCGCATGTGTGTTCCTGTTCTTGAAACACCTTATCCCATGAGTATGTCGGTCAGGGTTGAGTCACTGTGCCAGAGAGAAGGATCATAAGTCATAAGTTTCATTTACGCATATCCACCAGCATATTTCTGGCTGCCAATGCAGTTTTAGGATTGTTTAAGACTTTTAGACAGGGCAACTATCACAAGCTTCACGCAAAGTTCAACTGCAAGCCCAGACCAGATGGGACACGCCCTTTGCCTTCCAAGTGATAGCACCTTCATTTTGAGACAATCCTTTGCGGAAAGGGAATGGAGAAGAAAGAAGCGGGAAGCACTGACTTCACTAGCTGACAATATTGGACCAGTTTGGACCCTTTTTTTCAACAGGAGCTGCATTGCTGTATCAGGTCAGGTGACCTGGGACATGAGGAGTTTTATCAGTTTCGGAACAAAGGGCAGTGGAGCTGAAAGAGAACCAACCATGACTCCTTTTGTAGCAAACTGTTGGATCCACTGGCCATTCAAGCAAACCAGTTTTGCCGATTGCGATGCAAAACCCAAGACAGGTGCTTAATTCGTCCAAGCAAGACACCAACGCATCCCAGCTCCCTCACTCCAAAGCGCTGTCGGTCCTACGGTCCCACGGTGCCACGGTGCCGCGGACGTCCCACACGACTCGGATCCCGCTCGAGACGGCGAGGTGCTTGCGGACCTACTTGGGCCACGACCAGGCCGTGCGTGACATCGCCTTCACCGCGGCCTCTCGGACGAAACACGGTACGGGAAGGTACGGTGGGAAGATGTAGGAAGGTACGGTGCAGGTGAGTCTCCTTGTTGGTTTGACCCCTACTTCAAATCAATCTGAGTTCACCAAACTTGTCAGACTTGCCGCTTGCGGCTTGCCTGTAAATGTTCTTTAATGTTCACCACCCAGTGACCCAGTGTGTGTTTTGGCAAAGATGAACATGCAGTTGCAGGTATCCTCGTTCTGTTTCGCTTGTGGGGACCATCATCCAGGTTTCCAAAGGTTCCCCAGAACCATGACAGTGTGCTCTCTCACTGACCTGGACCTGAACCTGATTCGCAGCAGTTTTCAGGTGCATGCTTACATCTGGAAGAAAATCAGGTACCTATATTGCTAATTGTGCATATACCATATGATAAGTAATATGATACCATATGCATGACTAGACAGTTCATTGGTGCATTGATGGTCTACCAGCACAAATCTTGCAATCTTACAATGAGCCACTGTTAAGTAACACACACAAACATACAAACCTAGGAATTGTGTGAGTCGCCCTATGCCACTCCCCAACGAAATCCTGATATGTTTTTGGTGAAATGCTTGGGGTCAATATTTTGAAGGATGGCATGCTGTCTCTCCTAGCTAAGAAATTCATATTTGGAGTCCGAGTAGTCTCAAAGTACACATTGAAAAAGAATGAACAAATGAACACGGCTACCTTTACGTGTCTTTGTTGTGTTGATGGTCAGCTCGAGGTAGTTCAAGCAATGCCATACAACACCACCGGATTTGTGCAGCACCTGGTTCGCTCAGGATGGACGGCGGTTCTACAGCGTGTCCTATGACAAGAACATCCAGCACGAAGCCAAGATCGGGCTGGGCTGTGGGTCTCCCATCAATCTTGTCGGGACACAAGAGAATACACACACACATTCCATGGAAAACCAATGACAGTTGACATCCCTGAAAAGACAAGAATGGCACCCGTGCGACCCTTGTTGACCCCCAGGAGAAGGCGTTCAAGATCGTGCGTTGCTCTAGATTTGCTGTTCGTGGGGGTTTTGGGTAGATTCTTCAGCAGTTTCTGAAAGGCTTGTAGAAAGGCTTGAGACATGTAACGTGTATTGCGTCTTTTGAGGTCCACGTGTATATCTTTATGTCCTAACACGCCTTCTGACCTCTCCATAGCAAGGATCCTGGAACTGTAGGTTGCTTTGTTGTCAGAGGCAGATTTTGGAAATGGTATGTTTCCCACCATCAACATTTGGAGACCGTTTTTTTTTCAAATTCACAGCGAGTCCATAACTGGTCTGTTTGCTCCAAGAGCCAGTAGTTTGGAATCCAACATCGCACGCCGCTGGACATATGAGTGGTGGATATGTGTCATGATTTTGGGCTCGAGAACTTCCAACGCATGGGTTTTCATCATCCAGCATTTGGGTTGCCAATGTGTTGGGCGGTCCTCCTGCTGGTAAAGCCAGAGGTACTGGGATACCGAGACTGGAAAGATCATTGCCACCTTCACCAACAAGAAGACTCCCTTCTGTGTGTGGCATCTCAGCTACCAGCCTCCGTGTGAGTTGGCCAGAGATACCGATGGGACTGAGACAGGGAAGATTGAACCAGATTCGTGTGATCCTGTCATTCAGCTGTAATTTGGTTTTAGGCCAGGAAACATGGGTAATGCTCTATGTCTACACAAAGGACAGTAGAAGACTCTACTCCCGCTCCCAATGATATTCTGTCAATTCATCATTTCAGGGCTCATATGGACAGAGGTTGGATGGATCATGTCCCATTATTCCTGCTCTTTTTCCATTTAAGATGCATAATATATAAATATGATATATATATATACACATATTTCACAAAGCCTGGAATCTGGAACCTGGAACCTTGGCAGAACCTCGGGGGCTTCAAGTGTGGAGCCTTTGTGCAGCCGAGCCCCTTTGTTCACTTGCAGCGGTATAGGAATGTCATTCCACCAAAGGCACTTAGGTACTCCAGTATTTGGTTAGAAGGCTGACGTGGTTGCCAGGTTGGTGTCTAGGCTGCTGATGCTGCTGCTGATGATGAGGATGAATCATGATACAGTAAATTCCATTGACAGCATCCGACATCCTCCTCCCCTCCAGGTCGTCCTTTCTGGCGCTTGCGCACTCCAAACGTCTAACACGATTCGCCACGCAAAAGCCGCACGCAAGAGATACACTCCGTTTTCTCGGACGCCAAAGTAAGCTGCTTATCAAGCCGCCTTGCACATCCAGGCCTTTCTGGCCTTTTTCCGTTTTCCGTTGCTTGGTCGCACACTTCTGGTCCAGACCTTCAGGTGTCGGTGCATCCGGATCCATCTCAGCAGAATGTGATCGTGACCGGATGTTCCAACAAGAAGGCCCGGGATGAGTATTGAGATTGGTGTGTTCTGTTGAGTCCTTCAACTGGTCAAGTCCAATAGTTAAGTTGTGCTAGTGTAGATTTATATATTTTAAAAAAGAACTCTAAAGTGGATTGAAGTAAGTAGATAAACACCAATGCGCCTCAAGCATAGTCCCATCATTTGATGACCGTTCATAGCCACGACAAGGACGATCACTTTTGCGCATACACTGCGGGCGAATGTGTCCAAACTCCAATGCTTAAGATATCTACACTCCCTGGAATAACCATGCAACTGGACTTCACCACCTGTTTGATCCTCGGATTTTCATGGTCATCCTTGAGAAAGGCCATGCCATCCACGTAACCATGGATGATTCAGGGAGTGTAAGTCTCATGAGTTGGGAGGCTACAGTGTAGGCTGTTTACCACCCGGCCACCGTCTTCACTCTTGAGCTCTTTCAGCCTGAAAGAGCGCAGGCAGTGCAGTGGGACTCCAACACCTGTGAGATCGTCCAGGAGGGCTCCAACACAAGATTTCTCCGTGCGGCAGCAACAACAAGAGTTCCATAACGATTGTACAAGAGTTCAGCAACAACCCGTTCAACAACAATAGTACAATCACCACATTGCCCACAACATTAGCACCAACAGCAGCTGCAGCAGCAGTTCAACATCAACATTTCAACAACAACAACCGTACACCACCACCACTACTACTATACCACTACCACTGCCACTGCCACTGCGACGACGGCTATTATTACTATAGTACGACTACGACTACCACTCCTCCTCCTCCTCCTACTACTACTACTACTATTGCTACTACTACTCCGACTACCAGTACTAGTAGTACTAACTACTGCTTGCTGCTACTACTTCTTTTTGTCTAGTACAACCAGCAAACAACAATACCACAGAGACGACGACAACAACAACAACAACACAACCACAAGCACGATCGCAACTGTACTACCTGTGCCGGTACTACTGTTACTACTACTGCTCCTCTTGTTGGTTGTCCTTTTGTCGTAAGGTCTTTCTGTTTGAAGTGGTCTCGGGGGTGACTGTGAGTGATTGTGCGCCTGTCAGTCAGACTTTGTACAGCGATTCAGTGGTTGTCCAGTTGTTGTGTGGTCACAGGTTTGGGTGTGTTTGATGGTGGTCTTCCATTATGAGGGTTTGGCTCAAAAGGGTCCCAAGTAAAAGTTTGTTCCGTTTGGTCAGACTGAAGAGCTCGTCACCAAACTACCACCCACCACCCACCATCACCATGCGGATTCATGGATTCATGCCAATTCCGTTGGGTCTCTGACGTTTGACTCTTCTGTGGGGCAAAAAGGAAGGGAATGCAACTTCAGCCTTAGAACCTGGAATTCCTGCTTGTTTTCCAAGAACTCTCAATGTGAGGTCTCAAAAAAAACATGTGAAAGAAAACCTTCAGAACTTCTGTTGGGTAGATCTGTGCAACGCGGAGGATCAGAATCCGATTCTCCGAATCCTCGAGTTGGGTGGATCCCAATCCCACGAGGAAAACACGGTGGGAAACCTGTTGCGCAGGAGTACGATGAGCACATGGGTGCGGTCAACACGGTCACCATTTGCGAAGATGGGAAGCGCCGGGAAGCGCAGAGAGTTCGAGAACTGCGGTAAAGAAATTGCAAAGCTATCACTGGGAAGAGAGGAACAACATGGATAGGATTCCAGGATTCGATTCGCACTTGGATTGAACAATCAATCCTACAGCGAAACACTTGGATCCTCTTAGATCGAATGGGAATTCCCGATTTCCTTCAACTACTGGGACGGGAAGCTTGGATGTTGCTGTCTTCCAGAATGTGTGTTCAAATAATTGGCCTAGCTTGTAACTCTGTTGGATGAAAGAGCAGGGGCACGCACCCCTTGGAAGGCGCCAGCAACAACCAAAACTCGAAAGAGTTCGAGCTTGCTCTCAGACGTGGAGCACAAGACGGTCAGATAAGTGCTTCAGGGACTTGAGGGAGCAAACTGAGGAGCCAAAATACCCAAGTTTGACCCAGGCTTTGCACATTTCAGCAAGCCCAGTGTTTCTTCCGCTGCATCGACTGAGCCCAAAAGCTTCAATCAGTCGCAGGGTGTGTCGGTCATCCATGCGGTTTGCTCCAGTCGGATTCCGCTAGGTCCACACCCGGAGAGTAAGTCGAGGCTGGAGGTAGTAACATGAGCTGGAAGCCGTTTTGAAGAGTAAGGGTCAAACATCCACTTAGATGGCATTGAGACAAAGCCTCCCTAGCTGCACTTGTTGGAAGGTGCTGACGGCTGACGTGTTTTATACATTGAAAATACAACAGCCATCAATATTGTTTGATGTAATATATCCACATGCATTAATAATCATTAACATACATGAATATATGTCGTTGTTGCAACACACAACAATGTGGCACCATTTCATTATGCACTTCTTGCGTCCCTTTTTTGTTTTTTGTTCTGCTCGGCTTTCAGTACAACGAAGACCGGAGCAGTCCCATTCGTTCAGCTCTCAAGGCTTGTTGACCTCCTCGGACGACAAGAAGCCGGGGGCTTCAGCCGGGGCGACCTCGGGACAAGTCTGGGGAGCTATACGAACGGAAAGAGCCTGCTCCTGGATGAGAGAAGCTCCACAGGGTTGGGCTAAACATGCTATAGAACATTTGTTAGACACCTAAAGCTTTCTAAAGTCAGAGTCCGTGCAAACACAAAGAAAACCAAATGATATCAAACGGTGTTGAAGAACACACATCTACCGCAACGGAGAAACGAACGAAGAGAGTTCCGGACAGCAGTTGCTATTTTGTTTGACAGTCAACCTTGATGTGTTTTGCGGTGCGTTTGCAACTTGGAAAAAGCGGTAAATCTCTGACAGCAACTCTTTTTTCTACTCAGACCTTACAGCCTGCTCAGACCTTACTGATCCATACTGATCCTGACTTCAAATAATTTGAGGCTGTCCATAAGATATGCTTTCCATCAGATGATGTCAAGGTTTCAGGTTGGATCCTCTTCTGGATTTGTCTTTGGGCAGAGCATGTTTTTGAAGACACTAGTCAAACACTGATTGGGATCTGATGTTTTGGATATTATGTTAATTCCTTATGCTCAAGTCCCACCCATTCTATTTTTCTGATCTCCTTCGTCTCCTTGCTTTTTACAGTCATGTAGGGTCACTGTTGGCCTAGAGTCAATCGTGTCCAAGGCCTGATGGAAATTTGTGTCCAGGGATTCCATTGGTCAACCATCCAAATCTCAAGCGGTTGACCAAGGAACGACTTCGACACATGACATCAGACTCAGTGCCGTTTGCAAAGTTGAGGGGTTTGTTTGCCCTGGTCCAACGCTCATGACAGTCCACTGCCCCATCGGCTCCGAATCCTGCTGATTTTGTTGAGTTGGAGGTTATCTCGGCGTTGTGTGATTCCACAGGATTCCATGTGATATCATGTGTGATCCTCGGGTGCGCCGGGCCACCCCCCAGGATGTTCCTTTGGGAGTTTGGCATCCCAGTCGTCATCAAGCACATCGCCTCTTGGAGCGATTGGGATCGGTCGATCGGAGGAAGTTTGAAACAAGGAGCTTGCGCGGTAGATCAGTAGATCGATTGGAGCACCATGGCCTTGGTTTCTTGTGTTTAAACATCTTTTCCCTAGAGGCAGGTTTCGCCAAGTGGACAGACCCAGTTGATCTGGGTCGAGACATCATTCTAAGTCTAACTTCCCTGGAGAATCTCAACTTATTGCTGACCCTTCCGCCCTCCAACTTTTGAGAGTCCAATCTCCAATGCATTCACACATGAGGTCTACCAGGACCCTCCAAGGGGTGCCCTGTCTGGAAGCTTATAGGTAGTGTGGGGTAGTCCAGCCAGGACACCCCGACAGGAGGGTCCACGTATGTTTGAATGGTGAGATGAACTTTAGAAGACCAACTGTTTGGAATGAGCCGTCTGAAAGACCTGTATGAGGTCTGCAGAGAAAGAACTGGGAGATGAACGCGTCAGACGATCGTGATGCTGTTGCCGCTTTGCCGAATCGTTCTTCAACTGGGTTGAAAATCGTTCCGCAGATCTGGGTCAACGGATGCTGCTTGGAACTACTTGAGCATCCAAGGCCGAGCCCACAATGCATTCCATCCCACAGGCGAGTCAGCGAGATTCTTGAGTGATGATGAGAGCGGATGCAGCGGGTGCAATGATTTGGTCGGAGGGTTCAGGCTGAAAAACTGCTCTTGAGGATGTACATAGGCAAACAAGTTCTTTGAACATAATTGAACCATGAGAAATCAGAGAGAAGAATTGATTGGGCATTTTATGGAAACACTGCAAAGGGTAGAGTTTGAGCCAAGTTATGTACAGTATATTGTGTTTTTTGCCCAGGGGGTTCTCACCACCTGTTCTGTCTCCAATCAACTCTGGTTTTATATAATTGATTAAATCGTGTTTTGATTCTAATTGGTTTGACACTCTCTTGATCACCGATGAATTGTACAACTCGTGTCCAAATGGCACTAATTTAAGAAGTGGTAAGGAAACATGGCCGACTTCAATCCATTGTGCCTTAAATGTTGCAAGGCCCGTCTACAATCCGCTCCTCCCAAAAGAACAAACGCCAGTTGAAGAAACAGCGGGAATACAATTACAGCACATGTTAATTGAATTTATGCTGTTTCTTTTGCCAAATGCCGTGATGCATTTACTTGACTCCTCAAAAAAAGACTTTGATGACAAACAAAGGAGGAAGACATGAAATCAAAGTCACTGCTGATGGTGTGTGTTTGTTCATTTGTGTTGAGCACAAAGCAGAAACAACTTAGAACAGCGAACATTTTTTCCAGAAGATGCAGTTCACGCAGCAAGTACATCAAGACTTATTTTTTGGCTAGGGTATGGGGCACCCACCCCGCCCACCTGAGGACAATTCAATGGAACGTGTATTCTTTCAAACTCGGGCTTGCGCTGCCTATGGTAGTGGTAGTACTTCAACCTCCCTTGGATTCATTATGCAAGTTTAGGCTTCCAAAAAGCTCATGCTTAGTACATGATGTTAGATTGTGTCAACAAGCAAGGCAGCTGAAGCTTGCAAGCACCCCACATACAGGGACCCATTGGTTTGCAGAAGAACACAGTCAAGTCCAGCATTTGCTTTTTTTGGGGTGCTCTTTGACGTGCTCCGTTCCAGCTTCCACACTGAGCGATCTGTGTGTTGGGGGTGTCCAGCTTCCACACTCTGTGTCGGTGTGGAGAGTCCGTCGAGCGCCGCGCCCGCCAGATCGTGAAGAGCCCGGACGAGAAGTACTTGATCGGGCAGTCCATGGACAACAAAATCATCGCCTACGAGGTGGACAAAACACGCCAAAACCGGTGACAAGCAGACATATTCGCCAAAACCATACCTTGGTTGGCCTAGTTGGATGGTCAAGCTATGTGGTGTTGGGGCTCCAGGTTTTGACCCGGGCCCCATAAATATATATATATATATATGCAGCCGTAGCGAGCGTCCGGCGTAATGTGTCACGCGATCGGAGTGTGCGGCTCAAAGAGGGCTTTGGGCCAGGCCTCCTCGTGCCATGGAGCCGGGTTGCCTGGGTCAACTGATGGACCTGGGCTGGAGCAGATCCTCGCTGGCCTTCTTCCACGACATGCCGGCGGGGGAGGTCAGGGGTTTGCTTCCCTTGGTGGCGGAAGCTTGGACAGAACAGGAGTTCGCTTGGCTGCAGAAGGAAGCTAAGCGACAGAGGTTGAAGCTCGACCTTGAAGACCACCTGTTTCTCCAGCACCAACGACTGTTGTACAAAGACCAGGCGCTGATCAACAAGAAGATCGACGAGACCTCTTTTGGAGAGGCAAGGATCGGCACCTCCCTGGTCTTGGCACGGAAGACTTTGCCCCGGGTGAGCTGGAGGACACGTGGTGACCGGCTTCTTCAGGGTTGCGACACTGAAGAGCAACGCAAGGAGGTCGAGGAGAGAGAACGTGACAGGTGGATCGCACACTTGGTGGACTTCCTGGAACAGGCGCAACTCATCGAGAAGGGCAAGAGAGGTCCGGAAGGGTTGAAGTACTATGCCAACCGCTTCGCCATGGGGAGGCGGGCGTCCACGATAGGCCAACATGTCCTTCACGGACGGCATCTGATGGTGTACATGCAGAATGTGTACTCTGCCCCTTGGCTGCGCCATGAGGGCGATCTCATAGCGTATATAGCCCTTCGGATGGAAGAACCTTGCGGCCGCACCATCCCAGGGTCCTATTTCAAGGCCGTCGCCTTTCTCGAAATGTCTGCCGAGCTTCCGGAGGACCGCAAGGTGACAGGCAGTGCATCCCTCCACCACTTCTTGCTTGAGGTCGAGCGGGGGGACCATTGGAAGGCGAAGCCCACAGTTAAGGCTGCTCGGCTGCCAGTGGAGGCAATCCGGGCTCTTGAGATGGGGGTCATGGATCGCACGATCGCCCCCTACAAGAGAGTCTTTTCATGGTTTAAGCTCATTAAACTGTGGGCAGCATTGCGCTGTCACGACGCGGAGGGCATCCCGCCCGCAAGCATCTCCTTCGACGCCGACCTGGGTTTTGAGGCTGACATCACCCGATCGAAGACAACGGGGGCAGGACGCCGTGTAGAAGTGGTCCAGGTGTTCGTCAGCTCCTCGGCATATTTGGTTTGTAAGGACTGGTTGCGGGTGGGCTTGGAGATCTTCATGGGCATGGGCAAGGAGATCGGCACCGGCATGAGGGACTACTTGATGGCTCGACCGGACAACCGGTTGCAGGGCTTTCGTAAGTCCATGCTCAAGTACCAGGACGCCATGACCTACTCGAGGGCATTGCTATCGGAGCTTCCGTCCAGGTTGAAGGATGGCGCAGACAGGGCGGTCCCTCTGTTGCAGCCGGAGTCCACGGCCTACTTCTCGGAGCACTCGGAGCGGGTGACGATCATGAGCTGGGCGGCAGTATGCGAGGTGGACAAGGAGGTCCGCAGAAGATGGGGCAGGTGGCGACCCAGTGTTGATGAGGGCTATGTCACGACCACCAGGAAGTTGACGTTCGAAGCCCAGAAGAAGGTGGCGGAGAAGGTCAGGTCGACCTATGGAGTGTTTGACTTGGTTGACGACCTGGCCACGATCAAGAACTTCACACTATGGCTTCAAGACGTGCACTTGAAGTCGCCGAGCCAGGCAAATCGAGAGGCCCAGGCCATTGCGCCCCCTCAATGGGGAATGACCTTCACCCCAGTGAGGTTGCCGTTGGCAGAAGAGGAGGAGGTTGTGAAGGTGACGGCATCGGATTCGGAGAATGTGGATGAAGACCATGGCCAGGCCGTTTGTGAGACACCAGAGCATTGGTCGCCGACAGAGGTCTTCTCGGAGGAGGAGGACGGGAACACCGACGTGGCAGACAGCGGAGATCAGTTTCCGCTGGGGACGTATGTGCTGTCGATCGTTGGGAGGTCCCGGACACGCACTTTGCATGTGATGGGAGGCTGCTACCGTATTCCCGGAGTTCACTACAGGGAGTACGTGGTCATTGGGGCTGACCGCCCAGAGCTGGATCCCAAGCAAGGAGAGAAAGCATGCTCTACCTGCTTCTCGGCTAGGGAGAAGATGGCGGATGTGATCCAGGCCGGTGCGGACGCTGAGGTGTTGAGCGAGTTGGCATCGTCCTCATCAGAGGAGGAAGGAGAGCCGGAGCGCTCGGCCGGAGCAGCCTGAGACTGAAAGGAAGTCTCGAACTGTGGACTGGACTTGTGAAAACACGCTGGGTGTTTGGGCGGGGCTGGATGCCACCAGGTTGGGTTCTCTCGACGTCGTTCGTGTTTGGTGGGTTGGTCGGAGGTCGGTTTTTCGGTTACATTTTGGTTCCAGCCTGGAGGGCTCGGGTATCCCCCCTCGGAGGGGGGGGGTACTCGTGGGACGGGCGCAAGGCCCAAGCCATGGCGGGGCTGACGGACCGCGAGAAGATCGCGCCATTGGCCCCTGACTTGCAGGGGTTACTGGACTCCCGGAGGGTGCCAGAGGCCACACAGGCCGGTCTTCATGACCTGGGGATCGACAACTTGGCTATGTTGTCTGCGGTGGCCATAGACCGCACATCGTTGGAGACACTGGCTCGGAGCAGCCTTGGAATCGATGTGACAGCCAGGCCGGCAGACGCGATCATTTTCGCGTCATTGTTTTTGGCGTGGCAGTCCGCCACAAAGAGGACGGAAGCCAGGAACGAGCTGGAGGCGGAAGCGGTGGCCACCAAGGTCCCGAAGGCCATCCCTAATGTAGAGATGCAGCTGTTCCGGGTTGAGTTTGAGAAAAGGTTCTTTCGTTTGAAGGACGCGGAGTGCCCCGGTAAGCCAAGCTTTGAAGATCTGTGCGAACAGATTGATTCAGGAGAGCTGCGACCTATGGCACTCAGGCACTTTGGCTCACGCAATGAAGATGATGAAGCCGAGACGGGGAACATCCACGTGGGCAAGACGGGCGTTCTGAAGATCAAGAAGGCAAAGGTTGAGACATCGTCGCCCTCCAACATGGAGGAGTTCAGGAGCAAGATCAGGTACCCCAGCAAGGAGATCCTGAAGGACATCAACCCGTTCGTGGCCATGGAGTACCTGAACTACATCTGCTCGAAGGATGTGGCACAGTTGGAGTCCCAGACAGTGGATGGGGTCACACTGCACAGGCCCTCACTGAAGTTAATCATCAACTATGAGTACCAGATGCGGAAGGAGGCGGTCGATGAGATTAACAAGGGCATGGACTTCGTGTCGGCGTTGAAGGCGGTGACCAAGAACCCAGATGTTCGTGAGAGGCACTTCAGCACGCCGCTGGCGGTCTCCTCGGCCACTCAGAGCGTGCAGGACCCATGGAGGAGCAAGAACAGGAGCTCGGATAGGCCGCAACCCTACGACGTAAACTATGTCAAGGGCAAGAACAAGGGCAAGGGCAAGGGCAAGAAAGGAAAGGGGAAAACCAAGCAGGGAGGCCTGCAAGGGAGCACGCCTGATGGGCGACAGATCTGCTTCGCTTGGAACAACGCCCAGGAGAAGTGCACTGGAGGATGCGGCCGAGTTCATTGCTGCAGGATCTGCTTGTCCCCGGATCACCCCAGCTATGAGCACCCTGATGCACCGAAGCCCCCTTGACTAGGGGCAGAGACAGAGCAGAAGGAGCCGATGCATGCCAAGAATTCAGAGTCCTTTATTTGTTTGCTGGTCCCCAACGGGACACGGGCATCCCTGAAGTTTTGCAGCGTTTGGCCGCGACCACCCCGAAACGTTGTTTGATGGTGGTGGACTCCTTTGATATCCTGCGGTCAACTTCGCATGATCTTCTGGACAAAACCCTCCAAGAGGACCTCATCCAGAAGTTGAAGAACAGCTGTTACCAAGCGGTGATCATGTCACCACCTTGTGCGACTTGGAGTCGCGCACCTTGGGCCAACGAATTTGGTCCCAAGCCTTTGCGTTCATCAGTCCATCCATTGTGGTTTCCATGGCTGGAAGGCCATAAGCTGGACAAGGTAAGCAAGAGCAATGCCATGGTTGAGTTTTGCCTTCAGGTCATCTCCCTTGCTATCCAACTGGGCTTGGCTTTCTTGTTGGAACACCCGGAAGATTTGGGAGCAACCACGAGATGCGGGGGAGACACTAGACCTGCCTCAATCTGGCAGCTGCTTCCCATTGTTTCTTGGGTTCATGCTGGTGACGCCCTTACTGGTGCATTTTATCAATGCCAACTTGGTGCCACATCACCTAAACCGACTCGGTTGCTGCATAACTTGCCAGGTCTGCAACGCTACCTTGCTGCAGGGCTTCCCCTCTTGGACGGCGCCAACCTCTACCAGGGCCCCCTACCCAAGAACTGCAACTGCGGTCGGCGCCACACTCGCCTCATTCGCCAGGCCACGGACAATACATTTGCCACAACGGCAGCGGCGGCTTACCCTCCTGCCATGGATCACTGGCTAGCATCGACCCTCTTTGACCATCTTCTGAAGGGGGATCTCACAAAACGGCCAAAGAGAACGAAGAGAACGAGGGGGAAAACTCACCTCATTTGGATCATAAAGATTCTGAAGGTCACCCTCCTCATCGTCGACCAGATCTTGAAGATCTCGAAGGGCAACCACCTCGTCACCCTGGAGGAGGCCAACGTGATGGTGCTCTCGGTCAAGGAGAAGGCCCGGCGGACGCTGAAGGTGACGATTCTGGCGTTGTCGACGGGCAAGGTGGAGCTTCGGAGGAGGTTGAGCCTCCATCAAAGAGGCTTAGGCAGCAACCAAACCTGCCAAGGCCTTGTGGACGAGGTCCCTGGGCCCCACACCAAGTCTGGTATAAAGGGAAAGCGAGGA